CTCAGACATCTACAGAATATTTTATCTGTCTCATCATCTGGGTTGGGCAGTCTGTAACAGACTTCCACCAAGATGTCTGCTTTATTTGCCTTCCCCCTGATTCCTACCCATAAACACCCTGTCACTATTATTAAGTTCTAGGAATGTCATAACACTCCCTAACAAATCCCATGACTTCTGCTTATCTTCCTACCTTTTCTAGCACCATTCCTCAGATAAACAGTGCTACACCACTCCAAGACTCTAAGTGACTAATTGTTAGAATGCTTTTTCCTCCTAAGGCAGGCTTCAGTGTAGTAATGAAAGATGGGATTGCTTTCAGACTTTATTGGCTGATCCCTATAATGAGACTGGTAAATACAAGTCATATACACACACAGAGAGGTTTGTCTGCACATTGTAATACAGTTCTATTGTGGTGAGTCACTAGGAGCTCTGTATACTTTGTACATGAAAGCCAGAAAAAAATTAATTCTAATTTTGGAAAAAAGTAGCCCATTTGCTAGTGATCAGCTTTGTTGTCTGGGCACCAAGTACAGTAGCTCCTTTCTGCTCCCTGCCAGGGGCCTGTACATGCACACTATACTTTATTCCAGTCCAGAACTGTTACAGCTATTTATTCATCTATGGTGAAGTGCTCTACTTGATGCTTCATGCAGATGCAGGCTGGCATCAGAGACAATTGTTCCTGCATGTTGAGGGAGCTCGTCCAAGGCTGCCTCAAAAGTATTTCAAGGGAGGATCTGAATTCTTAAAAGCCTTGTCTTTGTAAAGCACAGCAAACAGTGCTTCTTCCACTTACCTGCTTTTCAGTATGCCACTGAAACAATGCAAGGTTTTGCTGTGCAGTCTGGCAGCTGCTGGCAGCTCTCTGCACCAGCTCTGTCTCACTGGGACAGCTGAATTGCAGTGGAGAAACAACAGAAGGATCTGTTGACTCTGGCTGCTAAATTTTACTACCCCTGAAAAGCTGCGATGACTTGCTGAAGATGACAAACTGGTGTCTTAAGGCATTAGGTTACTGTAGTTCAACCCTGCATCACTCACCAGCTGAATCTCAAGAACCCACAGCATTGCAGTTGTAAAGCAGAACACAAAAGCTTAGAGGTGCTGACACTTGGGCTAAGGACAGAACATTAATGTATATTTGCTTTCTGTTGTGTTTGCAAGTCAGAGGGTACATTCTCATCTTTGCAGACTCAGAGAATTAGGCTGGGTTCTTTCCTTCCCATCATGTCTAGTAAGTGAACTGCAAGACAAAATTAGGTCCCTGGACAACATGGTTGCATGCCTCAGTGCTCCCGTGGCGTTTCCACGGCCATAATCAGCTAGGATAAATAATTACAATGTATCTGAAGTAGTTTAGCCCGGCTCATTCAGTTTAAGCAGTAGTGAGTGCAACCTCAACCAAGTTAATAGGGGGGGAAAAAAACAGAAATTCTTATTGTATTAGCAGATGGAGGCACAAAGGGAGGGGAGCTGATCTGCAAAGTAACATTTTCAAGTCATTGCCTTTCACAACACTTTCACACCTCAATGCTGCTTCAAAGGGGAATGCAAAACAACCATGGTGAATTTTTCCTGCTAGCATCTTCAGTGCTGGGGAACAGGGATTTTCCACAGCAGCTTCTGACTCTTAAGTGAAGAAGCCTGGGAGTACAAAACCAACACAGTTCTCAGAAAGTAACCAGCAAAAATATTGGTAACCTCAGCTTCTTCCTATTATGACAAATAACTCCACATTTGTTGGAAAAACCAAGTCACATTACACTGAAATCAAAGGCTGATCTTGCTTTTCACCATTGCTGCTCCTTGAGGGTAGGGCTAGAAATAAACTCTCCCTGGTCAATGATCAAAAGAACAGCAACTTCAAAACTGTAAGTCTCATTCTGCTTAGTAGCATCACCACTTAGAAAGATGCTTAATTTAGGAATAGATTATAACCAGTTCACACCAGAAATACATTTTTTTCATAGAGAGAAGACAGTACATTTGACACAGCCATAAGACTGCACAGGCTGAATTTTCCAAGGTTAGATCTTTAATGAGCTGTAGTGTGATACTATTCTGCCTTTCAGATTTTCATCTTATATAAATGGCTGTAGGAGTGATAGGGGTTCACCCTAAATTATGCCAATTACCCACCAAATCACCTCAAAGCAGCAGCTGAGACTAGATGTCTGGCTAGACAAGTAGTAGTTTCCTTTAAAGTAAAAGGTTGCTTTGTTGTGAGTTTGGGTTTTTAACTCTTCTACCGAAGTCACATTTTTACCAGTTAATAGCAGGTCATTTCACCAGTGACTTGAGGCAATGTAGATAAAGACCTGAATTTAAAAAGTGGAAATACAACCCAGCAGTCTCAAGAAAGAGCTCAAGCACAAGTATTTACAAATCAAATGAAGGGAGTATTAATCTGTAGTTTTAAACTGCCTTTATGAAAAACAAATCAGATACTTCTTTAACTTCAAAATAGTTATTGTTAAAGAAATGTTTAGCTACATGTATACTATGGCTTCACAAGACATTATCCCATTACCTAAGTACCAATACATTCAATTAGTTGCCTGGTCAGTTTGTAAATCAACTTTATCACATTCAGTGACTATGCATGAGAGAAGAGTGCTCAGCTCCTGTCTACTTCCAAGAAATTACCCCTAATAGGCAAGTCTATATTAAAAATCATAGCAGGAAAAGACTAAACTTTCTGCTCATTAGTTTTGACTCACCTATGTCCCCACTAAGCCTACCACACAACACCTAGGTGAATCCTACTCTCTTTAAATCAAATTTACATTACAAAAGGTACAAGATAGAGCATGCTTTACTTTCCTTGAGGGATTTTCCATTCCCTCACTCTGAGAAGTTACAGATACTCTAACTCCAGTAATGCCAGAATAAAACTGCAGTTCTAGGACTTCACTGAAGCAGTCTTACCAGGGAGCTCAGTTTCCTCACAGAATTTGTTTAACAAGAGCCATCTCAACTTTAAGAAAGCATTTCACCCCTGATGCAACCTTTTATCACAGCATTACTGACACTGAGTGTCCTTCCCTTTTGGTTCTGAAATTCAACGGATGAGTCAGGACAGTCTTCATGGACTTTCTGAGAACTGAAACTTACTCTTGAACTACAAAACAAGGCTTCCTATGGAATCAATACACCTATTACATCTTAGTCCTTTTCAACTACCTGCAAAGCATGATTCTAAACTGTTTCCACCCCTTTCCTTACCACTCGCATTCTCACTGGGTTTACTTTGGACATGTTAAATGAACCCTTCAGAAGCTTAGAGAAATTAACTGGCTATTCATGCTACAAATACTTTGTATGGTGTGACAGTAAAAGTAAATATAAACTGGATAGTTTTTAGGATAGTTAACAGAAGAGATACAGTGAAGTGCTTAAACCTAAACTACCACAAACTGTAGAATTTATAAACTTACCTTCAGTCTATTTTTTATCACCTGCTTTAACCACCTTTCTCCCTCATACTTTCTATTAGTATTCAGTTACACAATAAATGCTAAAGACATATTTCAGTAGAAGGTATATCCCACAGCATTAAGGTTAAAGGTTCAATTAGTCTGCCTTTGAAGGTAAGGAAGAAATTACTTCCAACATAGATTAAGGCCAGAATCTTAATCTATTTTATCCTGAAGATATAAAAAAAGACTTAAAAACCACAACAGCTAATATTTTTAAGTGCTTTATATTTATTATAAAGTCTTAATAATTGCGTGTATGGAAAATTATTTTCTATACTAATAAAATGACAGCTTTACAAGTTATGCTATACAGTACATGAAATGCTTCACATTTTTCAGCTGCTTGAAACAGTATTTGCTATACAAGTGAAAAAGGGTAGGCTTAGAATGTTATTATTTATAATACAGTATGTTAGAAAGCACAAACAAATAACATTCAAAATAAACAAACTCCCAAAAATCTAAATAAGTCTTTAGATGACATATACACAGATTATACTCAAGTTTCAATATACACATTGTTCCACACAAGAAGCTCCACTTCACTGGATTGCTGGAACATGATGAAAATCAAAGGTGCAAGAATAGCACCTTCCAAGCCACAGGGCATTGGATGGGCAGAACAGCAACTTCCTGGAGTTCTCTGCAGTCTTTGGCTCTACCACTTCTTAAAACAATATACTGTGCAACACAAGGAGAGAGATGGGCTCTAATTGCAAGTACTGTCAATTCCAATCCAGTTATTTGGGAAGCTGATACAGCAATTCAAGGCACTCTTGCCAGTGCTGCCACCCCCAGTGCAGGACACAGCATTTTAAGAGACAAGCAGGCTGGGCTAAAGAACGTTCTTGAAGGACATGGAATGCACAGTTTAAAAAAAACTCCTTCAGAAGGTCCAGTTCAAAGCTCATTCGTTCTTCACAGGCACACCAGGTAAGAGAAACATTCATGTATTCACTTTAAAGCATACCACTTCAATGTCCGTAGCTGCTTTAAGGTTAAAGTATCAGCAACTTTGTTGTGTTCACGGGGCATGCTGAACCTAATCTCAGAGTAAGACTTCAAGCCTACGACACTTTGTCTCCTTTGATTTTCCTTCACTCTTCCTTCTCATTGAGACACAATGTCTACAGTGAATTATCTTTTGAAACTGTTCTACTTACAAGGTTAACCATAATGCCAACACCTCCCCCAGAAAACGTACTCACAATAACACTGTTTGCTCTGATGCATGTCATACTGACACTTAATTGTAAGCTGCTCCCATAATATATCTTCTAGATCAAAAACATTTAATAATATTGCACTATTGCATTTTACTTTTGCCTCCCAATCTCATTCCAAGTATTTACAAAACTGTAAACAAGTAATCTTTAGAGTCTTCAGTACTGTACATCTGTTTCAAGGAACCAGAATTCAGTGAGAACTTAATTAGAAATACAGTAGCCTAAGCACAGCAAAGTTCTGTCCAGCTGCCCTCTTCTTACACTAACCAACAGGTCACTCCTCCCACATTCACACCTTCAGCTTCTTCTTCTGATCAAAGTATGCATCAAATCTGGATAACGCATATTCCTGGAGAAATAAGGGACATTCAGCAACAAATATAGTAAACACAGCTGAGTTTTCTTATTTGGTATGGGGAAGCATAATGACTGTGCTACCTTCATAATCCATCACCACAATGCCTTAATTAGCTCTATTTGGGAAGGATAATCTTTCTAGAGGTGTGTTCTGGCCTCCAATCTTATTTAAACTGTAACAGTATTAGCTGCTGCCAGCATGTCAGAAAAACAGGAACTAAAAAGGATGGCTTCTGCAACACTTCCTGCAGAATATTCAGTGTACCTGAAAGTTACATCACTTTGTAGTACACTAGGCATCTATCAAGAGTTAAACTGACCTGTTTCTCAAGTATAGCAAATGACCCACCATAAATATTGCTGCACACTGAATATAATATTAATGTGTTGTTACATGTGTTGACTACTTAATTTCTAAATTCACACTTGCTGCATGCTAGCTTTCCTTTTGCACATGAGCTTATTGCAGAAGAGCACTTCACTGCAACACATCCCACTGAGAGGCCAGAAACATAAGGCTAGTCTCACATAACAATGTGATGAATTTGTGATGTTTTTACAATGTTAGATTTCTTTACCTTCTTCTGTATAGAGCACAAACTAGGAATTAATCTATTTTAAAAATATTTACTTCACCTAGAAGATACCAGTTGCTGTGAGAGGCCATTTCATTTACTTTCTGATAATGCACTACAGGTTACTTGGAGTATATAGCTTTAGTTACATCAAACTACAATTTAATAACTTACCAGATAACCAAACTCAATGGATGAGATCTTTGCTTGTATAATAGACCACAGACCCCAGAAGAAATGTGATGCAAGGGCAAATCTGAAATTAAAAGGCTATGTTTATTGTCATACTCAGCTAAGTCACAAAACATTATCTGAATATCCTGTTAGAATAGTATTTCCTAGTTGGGGATGTCCACACCTTTTCATCAAGTATGACATTATAAAAATAAATCCATTAGGTTACCCATGAACTAGTATTTTGCTTACTCCACTAATAGTGTATACCACATAACTAAAGGTTACAATGGACAGATTCTTCTTTATCACATATAAATGGTTTAGAATCTCTCTTGGCTGATGTTTCTCCACCCAGTTAAGTATAGAAGTATAGGTACCATAGTAGAAGTATCAAGATAAAGTTGTGAAAGACAACTTACCTGTTAACTTCTGTTAACACTTCTTCTTCTAGTTTTAACTTCTCTTCATTGCTCAGACTTTCAAAGCAATCATGGAATGCAGACAGGTAACTGGAGATAAAGTGAAGCTAGGAGACAAGTAAACAAGTTACAACTCCAGTTAATCTCCACGCATACGTACTTCTTTCAGAACTAGTCAGGCTTTCTAGTAAGTTTCATTTATTTTTTCCAAACATTGACAGTACTGGAGTTAACTTTAATATTAATGGTGGTTCTACTAATGGCTTGGAAGCCTAGTTTAAGAAAAGCCGCAATATGACAACATACAATATTTTGCTACTGCCAACTAACTTCACATCTGCAACCAACAACTACTGGATTTCAGTCAAGGAGCTACATGGCATCTAGTAAATATTCTATCCTGAATCTGAGGATCAAAGAATCATAGGGGTTGGAAGGGACCTCTGAAGATCAAGTCCTGCTGCAGCAGGAACACCTAGGGCAGATCATACAGGCATGTGTCCAGATGGGTCTTGAAAGTCTACAGAGAAGAAGAATCCACAACCTCTCTGGGCAGCCTGTTCCAGTGCTCCATCACCCTCACAGTACAGAAGTTTTTCTTCATGTTGAGGTAGAACTTCCAGTCTTGTAACTTGGTGCTGTTTCCCCTTGTCCTATCACAGGGCACCACTGAAAAGAGACTGGTCCATTCTTGACATACAACCTTCATATATTTATAGACATTATTAAAGTCCCCTCTTAGTCTTCTCTTCTCAAAACTAAACAGCCTCAGGTCTCTCAGCCCTTCCTCGTGTGAGAGATGTTCCAGTCCCTTAATCATCTCTGTAGCCCTCCATTGGGCTCTTTCCAGCATATCCCTGGTCTCTCTTGAACAAGGGAGCCCAAACTGGACACAATACTCCAGATATGGTCTTACTAGGGCAGAGTAGAGGGGGAGGAGATCCCCCCCTCGACCTGCTGATCACACTGCTCTTAATGCATCCCAGGATACTATTGGGTCTCTTGGCCACAAAGGCACATTGCTGTCTCATGGGTAACTTGTTGTCCACCAGCACCCCAAGGTCCTTCTCCATGGGGCTGCTTTCTAGCAGGTCAACCCCTAATCTACATTGGTGCATGGTGCTTTAGCTGAATAGCTATTATGAGGTTTCTACGATTTATTTTTTTAAGGCTAGTCAGGATTACATAAAATGCTGTATTTAAAGAAGTCATGGAGGAAAGATCTTGGGAAAATAATTCCAAAACAGAATTGAAAAAAAAGAGTGAAGATTTGAAGACTGCAGACACTGGAATTTCATGTCTTATCTACCTACCTGTTGCTTCTTCGAAGGGTATTTAAGAACACTAGCTTTGAAGAATGGGTACTTCTCATATGTGTAATCATACATCCATTCACAGAAGTGATTTCCAATGTCAAATCCTCTGAAAAAGTGATAAAGACCAAGTACCTCAATATTTGCATACTAGCAATATGTTCTTGCTTAAACAAACCTAAAATCAAGTTTTAAAGCATATAGCTACCTAGAACTTACTGCAGTTTTGCTAAAGGAGGTAGTGAATTGTTTTCTAGAATACTGCTTTTGTGCAAGTTATTAAAATCAATTAGTAAAGATGGGCAGTTAAAAGTGAAAGCTACCAGCTACATGAAAATACTAGACTTTGCTACCAAGTAGATAGTTAAGATACTTTAGGATGCACTAAATCTCAGCACAAAGTCAGACGCATTTCTAATGTTAGCATTATTGCAGGCAAAGAGGTCACAGTCATACTCAAAGTATGTAACATACCCCACTTTTACATTATTGGAATTCAGGGTTCAATTATGTTCCAGCTATGCTAAAGTTTTATGATGCAAATGACTCCACACACCTAGATCACTCTTAAACAGCAGTACTAGATGACTGAGGTTAAGGACAGAAAGCATTTTCTGTAACCATGTACCAAAAAAAGCAGGATTACTCATCTGCACAGATGAGGAAGTAATTTGAAAGGACCAAAGAAAAAAAGCAGAAGCAAACCTGCCCTATGTATGAATGTACCCATACAATCTAACATTCTCCTCATCTCCCCACTAGAAAGAAATTTTAACATGCTAGCACAAAGCCACTAGAGTGGACCACCAAGCCACTCCAACTCTGCCGTATGCCTATACTTGATGCCATCAGGACCAGAGCTATTTTTACTCTTATGTTTGCTGTTTATTACTAACACACAGGAAGTTAGCAGTGCATTACTTGCTCTCACTGTAGCATGCAGAAAGTGAAACACCTTCCTGCGCTGCTGTATTCAAAGTCAATGAGCATCAGCTTTTGGTTTTCTGAATTCTCTCTGCCTTCCAGAAGCAAAACATTACCTGAAAATTTTAAGGTAACACAGGATGTTCAGTAAGGTCCCAGGGAAGTTACAGAAAAGCAATACTCTATCTTCAGAAACATTGTTCAAATAATCCCAGTTATCCCTTACATCTGTACAGAAGAATGATGGGAAAAGCCAAATTGCACTATGCATCAGTTCATTGAAAGTTGAAAAATATTGTATAAACCTTGTAAAGCTGAAAGTGAGAAAGTTTTCTTCTGTACAGGCAGAGGTAGATTTTTCTCCCAATGGTCCTGCTTCTCCAGTGTTTAGCATACAGCTAACCAGGTGACGCTGTCAGCCTTAGCAGCCCTTGCTGAATTGTTTCTTTCCACAGTTTGACTTCTAAACTATCTCTCACATCTGCATAGGATTATTGTTGACCACACAACACTTGGGATGGGAATTACTTTTCAGCAGCCTGAATGCCACAGACCAATGACTTTGCTATTCTACTATGTGGCACAACCAGTACCTATAGCAAAGCTCAGTCTTCTCCTTTATAACAGGGAGATTGCTTTATCTGGTTTTCAATTCACTTTGTCACAATAATTCATCTGAAAGACATCAAGCCTGCCTCTATCAAGTGTCAATTAGTAAATAAGTTTAGAGTAGTTCAAATTTATTCAAGTTAGTCCCCTCTCCACAGGTACATCTCTATGCCATACCCTTGCAACAGAGGAACAAGCACAGTATTTTGCCTTCTCCATCCTCACTTTGAAAATTTAGGTTCCAAATCTTGCCCCCATGCTCTGACTTCTCTGGTACAACACCTTGGCACACCAGCAATGAGATCTTCAACTACACCACTACTGAGCTAGCTCTTCAGAGCTCAGATCAGTGACCTCTTCCTCTAATGCTGCTTATCCTTACACACATATCCTCCAGGCCAATTCCTCAGCCTTAACTACTGAGACTGGGACTCCTGAGAACAAAACAGCCCCACATACATGGTCTGACCTTAGCAACTTTCCAGCTCAATTCAGCTTACCCACCTAAAGGTAACTGCAAGCACAAACAGAACATATCCATCACCTTCAACCCTGCTGCCTTTTAATCTCTTTAGAGAACTGGCTCAGAAAAAATGTTATTCCCTCTATGACTCCTAGAGAGCATGTGCACTAAAAACAGGTGGATAGAACTGCTGAGTCAAACCTACCATAGTCTCAATTTTCACCCTTCATTGTACTTTTACAATATCTTTCTTTAAAAGGACTAATCAGACAGCTAAGAAAGGTATGATCTTTAAACACCCAAGGTTACCATCATCAACTGACTTGTACTAAGAGAGCATGTGTACATATTTGGCTTAATCCAGTTATGATACAAGATGTTCTCTTAATTAGCCCAAAGGATTGCTGAAATCAATGCACTTTGTTTTGCAACTGTTGCACACTAGGAGTACACAGGCTGCTGCTTCAGTTCAGCTGCTGTACCTCGATAACAGGACTACCTCTCAGAAAAAAGTGACCAGAAAAGGCTTATTATTGTATCATTGAATAAGGTAATGAAATATTAGCAGCCTACCTTCTTGGCAGTCATTGTGACAAAATACAACTGGTGAGGAAGTAGCTTCAAGGATTGCTCTAGAAAACAGCAATATAGGATCTTATAAGTAACAAATCACTAAGTTCAGTTCCACTTCCAAATAAATCATGGATTTTGTTTTAAGAGTTTGAAGTACTAGTTTAATACTGTTTAGTCTGAAAGAGGAGGCTGAGGGGAGATCTCAACAGTCTCTACAACCACCTGAAATGTCATTATAGAGAGGTTGGTGCTGGTCTCTTCTCACAGGTAGTTAGTGACAGAACAAGAGGGAATAGTTTCAAGCTGCAATAGGGGAGGTTTAGACTGGACAATAGGAATTTTTTTTTCACAGAAAGAGTGGTTAGACACTGGAATAGGCTGCCCAGGGAGGTGGTTAAGTCACCATCCCTAGATGTGTTTAAGGGTCATTTGGATGTGGTCTTAGTGGATATGGTTTAGTGGAGAACTTTGTAGAGTAGGGATGATGGTTGGACTCAGTGATCCCAAGGGTCTTTTCCAGCCTGAATGGTTTTATGATACTATTCATTTCTATCAAGACCATTTTCTCAATTAGGAGTCCAAGACGAGGACAGCAGAGTCAGACCTCACTGATAAGCAACTGATCATATCAATTTGTAGTCATACAAGACTCTGGTTACAGAACCAAAAACAACTTGCAATTTGTAAAATAAAATTAATATAAGGTATTATACTGTATAACATGTTTGAACAAGCTTACAATTTCAAACTGAAACTGAAAACTGGAAAACAGTGGTAGAGAAAATTACCCTACCGTAGATTTTTCATTTCCTGTGGGAGATTGTAACTGAGGAGTTTGTTCAGTGTTCTAGTTCTGGACTCCCTGGTAAATTTAATCCTCAGCACTTGATTTAGGTATCTGTTAAAAATAGAAACAATAGTACAGCATTTGTGACAGTAAGTATATTTGTCTTCCCATACTAAGACATCACTTAAACTACACCCAAGAAAGTTTTTAAAAAGTTTAAGAAAATATTAGTGTTCTTCAAGGTAATTTAGCTTACTCAAGTAACTGTGAAACAGTTTCTGTATACAGTGAGAGCTTGTACTCTCAGACACTCAGGAAGAATGATCTGATTATCAAATTACAACAGGTCACCTTTTTTGCATACTTTGAAGTATTGCATAACTTACTTTTCCATTGTTCCAAAAAGCCACTTAGGTTCTTTATTAAATGGCATTTTCATGCCATGAAATCTAGCCATCTTCTCAGCTATTTCAGCAGATATGTCAGGTAAGCTTAGTTCTTCAGTAGTCAGTTTCCTGCTCTGTAATAAAATATAGTATTCTTAAGATACAGTTAATTGAATTAATCATGCTTTTGCAATTAATTACAAGCACTAACACTAGTCTTTATGTAGTACAGTATAGAATATCAGCGTAGTGCTCAAGCAGTATACTTTTTTTATCCCAAATGAACTTACAAAAGTGCTGTCATCATAAAAGCAGAGTTAGCCAGCCTAGTTTACTTCAGATGTAGTACCTTTTCTTCTAGATCAAGACCTGAGGAATATCACATCTCACATGAAGAACATCTTCAAAGCAGATTAGGTATAAATATTTAATAACATCAAATAATCTGCTCTTGTTGCTGCTAAAGGAAAATGATACTCCATAGCTTCCAGTACAGTGTTCAGTATCTAACATGCTTTTTATCTTTATTTCTTAGTCTCTGCTATGGCTGAAGAGTTTTTAGATCCATCTCTCTCTGGCAAGAGGTACAATAGGGCTCTCCAACACCCACTGTAACTGTATCAAAGTACAGCTAGCAATTAGTTCAGGTTGCCAAGTATTCCATCCCAACATCCATGCTCTTCTAGGCAGTCCAGAGGCCTTATCATGATCAAAACAGCTACCAGCAGCCCACTACCTAATCATGAACAGAACAACTTACAGGAATGAATTCCTCCAATCGTCCTTGTGGAAAGATTCCATACAGTTTTGGACCAAGAGCTCTCTCTGCAAGAATGGCAAACATAACACTTTCCAGAACCATGGCTTCTGGCCCCTAAAAACATATATATATATATAAAATAAACCAAGTATTAGCTGGTACTTGCACAGAAATGAATTTAGTTGTGTATCATAGCTAAATTGCTACTAAGAGAGAAATTCTAGCTTTAAAAAGACAACAATATTTTACTTAATACAGTTTCTTGACTAATAACAACTCATAGCTAGTATAGGAGCTATATAAATATTTTGCTTTCAAGTTTAAAGCCAGGGAAGTACTTACAGGTACTGTTGGTGAGCCAGGTCAAAGGAGAACTATGCAAAAGCCAAAAACCTCTCCTCCCTAACCTGTGGGAACTCTGCACATTCATTTCTTGAAGGAATTTATCCTACTGAAGCACAGTACAGTATCTATAAATATTATCCTTGGCTATTTTAACACACTTTTGAACACTGTCTCACAAAAGGACACTAAGTGAGCAAACAAACCAGCTTTTCATTTAGAACACCTTAGGATTTGCTTCTGTTCAGCACATTTTAGATCTTAACTTTTTTTTATAGAAGGAATAATTTTAACCCCTGCTACAGAGCATAGTGTGTATATAAGCATTCTTCTTTTTCTACCTCCAAATATACATTAAGTTTCAACAACTTTTCTTCAAGATTTTCTTTACATCAGTAAACTCAGTCCATAGAAATCATAAGCAGACAGGTTAATATGAATGTTAAAAAAGTAACAGAAATATGAAATAAGTCTGAAACACAGTAAAAAATCACTGAAGTATAGCTTACTTGGTGGCTAAGATTAGCTGTAAGTAAACACAAAAGCCACAGTATACATCATTACTTCTAGCAATTCTGTTAACCAGAAACCAGCTGTAGTCAAATCCTAGAGGCCTTCTAAGCCTCCGCCTGCTTTTGAGCATGAAAGTCTGACCCATGACCCTAAAAAGCATAAGAATGAGAGCTTTATTAATTTTGTGCTCTTAATTTTGGACTAGGAATATTTTGCATTACTGTAAATCATTGCAGTCTCACACACTAAACAACTTTTCCTACACAAGTTCAACCCTGAATATACTCCAGGCAGTTCCATTCTTATTACTGGCCTGACATTATTCTAGTGTCTTCTCAAAAAATTATAGCATTTTATATTGAAATGTAGGAAAGACTCATGTAAATATGTTCTGAAGCTTTAAATTCAATAAAAAGTAAGTCATCAAGAATATAAATTCAGAGTTTAAGATGATTTGCATATGAATGTATTGCATCCATGTCCTCCACCGTTTTTCCATCTCACCTCCTCCAAACTCAACAAATGCACCAAACGCACGTATTTTTAGTCATTTCACATGCCCTCATCACTACAGATCTGAACTTCTCAGTTCAGTTCTGAAGCCTAATGACAAGCCCCAAAAAGCAAATTAGAAACAGGTTACTGAACGTCTACTCCGTTATTAGCCAATATTAAATTTGTCTTTACCTGGTACACCAATAGAGCATTTACGAAGTCCAATTCCTATTAAAATGTCAGTTCCTTGTTTTCACACCTTACTGAAACATCAACTCATGATACTTTGATAACAGCAAATGCCAGAGAAACGTTCTTCATTAAGATGTCCCTTACTGCATCAGAAGTGAAAACCAGAAGTAGTGAAATTTCCAGTTACTCAAAGCTGTACTTCTGGACTACTTCTGTCACATGTCTGCCTACCCCTAGTGCTTTAAGACATACTTTAAAACCTAGAATCTTCAGACAGCTATAAGTCTGTAAACCTCCGTCAGCAGTGTTAACAAGGAAGGCTACATCTCTCTCCAAAGATCTGCTTCAAGACTAATTGCTTCAGGCAAATATCTAAAAGCAGCAGTATATATGTATATTCAAGTTTAAGGGCTCTGGTGCCTGACTCTTTGAAAGACAAAGAAGCTTAAGAGCACCAAAAGAAGTTCCTCTACTGTAACAGGGTGGTCACTTGAGAACAAGTCCAATGAGAGCTCTGGAATATTATCATCTATGCATCTCAGGCACAAAGGCTTCATAATAACCTGTGTCATAGCTTAGGCCCTGAAAACAAAGAACCACGCAGCCACTCATTCACCCTTCTCCCCACTGTGGGATGGGGAGAAGAAAATCCAAGTAAAAGCTTGCAGGTCGAGACAAAGATGGGGAGGGTTCACTTACCAGTTAGGGTCAGGGGCAAAACAGACTCCATTTGGGGAAAGGAATCACAGAATGGTAGGGATTGGACAAGTCCAACCCCCCTGCCAGAGAAGGACCAAAACAAGGGCCAATCACTCAGAAAGGCATACAGGTCTTGAAAGTCTCCGAGAGTGAGACTCCACAACCTCTCTGGGGATTTGGTTCCAGCGCTCTGAAACCCTCACAGTAAACAAGTTCTTCCTCATGTTGAGGTGGAATTTCCTGTGCTCAAGTTTGAATCCATTGCTACTTGTCCTATATCAAGGCAGAAGTGAAAAGACGTTGTCCCTGCCTTCTTGATGCCCAACCCTTGTGTAGACATTAACCAGATTCCCTCAGTCTTCTCCCCTCTAGACCGAAAAGTCCCAGGTCTCTTAGCCTTTCCTCATAATGCAGGTGTTCCAGTCCCTTAATCATCCTTGTAGCCCTCTGTTGGACTCTCTCAAGTAAATCCCTGTCCCTCTTGAACTGGGGAGCACAGAACTGGACACAATACTCCAAATGAAGTCTCACCACAGCCGAGTAGAGGGGGAGGAGAACCTCCCTCAATCTGCTGGACACACTCCTCTTAATGCACCCCAGGATACCACTGGTCTTCTTGCTACAAGGGCACATTGCTGTCCCATGGATAACTTGTTGTCTACCAAGGTCCTGTACTGGTGCATTTTGTTGTTCCTTCCCAGGTGCAGGACTCTGCACTTGCTCTTGTTCAATCTCATTAGGTTCCTCTTTGCCCAGCTCTCCAACCCGGCCAAATCTTGCTGAATGGCTGCACAGCCTTCAGGTGAATCAGGCAATCCTCCCAGATTTGTGTCATCAGCAAACTTGCTGAGAAGATACTCTGTCCTGTCATCAAGCTTATTGATAAAGACATTGGACAGGACCGGATTCAGCACTGATCCCCGAGGGACTCCACTAGTTACAGGTCTCCAGCTGGGCTCTGCACCACTGATCACCACTCTTTGGACTTTCTGTGTAGCCAGTTCTTACTCCATCTCACTGTCTGTTCTTTTATCCCATATATCTTGAGCTTGCTCACAAGGATGTTAGGGGAGACTGTGTCAAAAGCCTTGTAGTCAAGGTAGACTTTATCCACTGGTCTCCCTGTATCTATCCATTTAGTCACAACATCACAGAAGTCTATTAGATTAGTCAAGCATGATTTCCCCTTGGTAAATCCATGCTGACTACTCCTGATAGCCTTCTTCTCTTACGTGTTTTGAGATAACCTCCAAAATCAGCCACTCCATCCTTTTTCCAGGAATGGAGGCTGACTGACCAGGCTGACTGGTTTGTAATTTTCTGAATCTTCCTTCTTGCCCTTTTTGAAGACTGGAGTGACATTTGCTTTCCTCCAGTCCTCAGGCACCTCTCCAGTCTGCCGTGATCTTTTGAAAATGACAGAGAGTGGTAGGGCAGTAACATCAGCCAGCTCTCTCAACACTCTTGGGTGCATCTCATCAGGGCCCATGGACATGTGCACATTCAATTTACATAACTGATCTCTGACCCACTCTTCATTGACTAGTGGAGAGTCTTCCCTCCTACAGGCTTCCTCTCCTGTATCCAGGTTCTGAAGTTTATGAGGACTGGTCTTAGTAAAGACTGAAGAAAAGAAGGTATTCAGCAACTCTGTCTTCTCTGCATCCTCTGTCACCAGGGCTCCCACCTCATTCAGCAGTGGCCCTACATTTTCCCTATTGTTTAATTTTACTACTGATATAATTGAAGAAATTATTTTTGTTCTCTTTTACTTCCTTTGGTAGTTTAAGTTCTAAGAGGACCGCGGCTTTTCTTGTTGCCTTCCTACATACCCTGACAACATCCCATCTCCCAGGTGAAAAGTCCCTAGTTCCACAAATTGTAAATTTCTTTCTTCCACAAGACTTTCTTCAGAAGATCCTTGCTTATCTAATGCAGGTTGTTTACCACCTCCGCCCGACTTTTTTACTTGAAGGAATGCACCCATCTTGGGCTTGGAGGAAGTAGTATTTAAAAACTGACCAGCTTTCCTGGGCTCCCTTTCCTTCTAGAGTCTTAGCAAGGATTCCTGCAAGTAGATCTTTGAAGAAAACAAAGTTGACCCTTCCATGATCAATTTATCACTAATCAGATGCAAACAGGACAAAAACCAGACCTGAAATACCTCAACCCTCCCCTCCCTTCCTCCCAGGTCCAAATTATTGTGCTCCCAATTTCTCTACCTCCTTTCCCACAGTGGGACAGAGGGACAGGGAATGGGGTTTAGAGACAGTTTGTCACACCTTTTCTGCCTTCCTCCTCAAGGAGGAGGATTCCTCACTGTCTTTCCCTGCTTCCCCACAAGGTCCCTCCCATGGGAGTCTCCCTCATGAATCTTCCAACATGAGTTCCTCCCACAAGAGGAGGGAACAGGCTGCTCCAGAACAGGCTTCAGACTCACTGAAGTGAGTCTCCAGACTTCAGGAACGGAATGCTCCAGTGTGGGCTTCCCACAGAGTCACAGCATGCTTCAGGTGCAGTCACCTCCCCTGCTGCAGGGTCCTCCATGACTGCAGGTCCCCATCTGTTCCACTATGGTCCTTCATCGGGTGCTCCACTGTGTTCCTCCATGGGCCGCAGGGGACCCTCTGCTCAGGCACCTCCTCCCCCTCCTTCCTTACTGACCTTGGTATCTCTGCTCCAGCATTGCTCTCACCTTCACCTCTCCTCAGCCCTGAGCTCTTACAGCAGTTCATTTCCCCTTCCTGAATGCAATCTTGAATAATCACAGAGGTGCATCCATTATCACTGATGGGCTTTGCCTTAGTCAGAAGAGTCGCTGTGTTTTTTGGAGCCGGGGGAGCTTTCAGCAGCTTCTCAAAGCAGTCACTCCCGGCACCGCTCCCCTGCTACCACAACTCAACACAACCTGATGGACTTTTTCTAAGTCTCCACTCTATATACTCCTGTCAAGCTCAGACCTGCAAATGAACTACTAAAGCACATTATAAAACTATAGCATACTTCACATGGACACTGAATGAAATCAGTTAAATATTAATCTGATAGCTTTTTTAAAGGATCAAGCATTGTAACCAAGCATGTGCCTCAATGCCTACAAATACTTTGCAATATACTTACACTGCCCATTGTTTTAAGCTCTGAAGCTCCCAATTTTAACCAGTTCCAAACAGATACAACCATGTCCACTTGTATTTAAAACAAGTTTCTGGAGAAGATTTGATGACTCACACCTAAATGAATACTTAAAGCTGAATGTTTCATTTCAAACCTAAGAATTATAGACACTTTTTAGAAGAATTTTCCTGTACACAAGTCCTCTTCAGGCAAGGAGAGATCAAGAGCCTTTCTATACTTCAGTTGGAACTGAAGCTGCTGCATTATTCTTTCTTTAATAAAGCTCACTATAAAATACATGAAATAGTAATATACTTGAGAAAGTAATCCTTAACTACAGCAAAACCAAGATAAACCAAATAATTCCTACTGGAAGACCCTACAAAGCTGACAGAAGACTATGCCACTTCTAGTCAGTTTTCAAACACCAGGCAGCTCTGAACACCTACAATGCTTTTGGGCAGTGATCCAGAACATTAAGATTACGCAGAGACTTTTCTTCTCTCCTAAGGATGACATTAAGTCCTCTGATTTTTACCTACAATTTTTACCTAGCCTCAAGAAAATTAAGATGTACACTCTGCCAGGAATTCTTGAATTCACTGATTCAACAGTGAAGTACCATCACTATGAGATTAATAGGAAAAACCAACAGACTACCAGCTTAGAATCACTATTTTCAGGCAACAAAGACAGTTCTGAAGTTCCAAGTGTTGCTTACTGTACTGAAAAACTTCTATGAGCTGCCAGCACCAGGGTGGGGCTGGTCTGGATTATTTTTTTCTTTTAGAACTTTAGAACTCGGCTTGGGCAGGGAAGAAATCAAACCACCCTCATATTTCATCTCTAAAGAAAACTGAGGAGTCAAATCAGTACATTTTTCCATTCAGTCTTAGTTCAACAGATTGAAGCTGTTCCAGCAAACCTAGCTGAGAGTTCAATGTAACTTCAATAGTAGTAATTCAACAACAAAGTTTTTAAAACCAGTTTTAAGTCACTAGCAAAAAACAGAACTGCTTGAATTGTTTCAAATGGCATTCCCAGAAGAAAGAAAACAAAAGCAGAGAAAAGCAGCACTTAATTGATAAGTAAAATGTACTTCTTCATACTCACTGTCTAAACGAGTACAGAGCTGAAAAATGGTAGTACTTCATAAGCAAAGCATCTGGTAAACACACTGCACTGCTATCCCTTACTGGAAAAAATACTGCCATGTTAGAAATCTAAATTACCAACATCTTTTCATATGACTTGATGAAAAATTACACTCAGGTAACCATTACAATGCATAAGCAGAAATTGTTCCAAATGCAAGAACTGTAAAGTTTGCAGAACACGGATGATATAAGCACAATGCTAATCAGAAACACTCCATGTTCAAGAGGAAGTTATGTCAAGCTTCACACACTTTACTCAGAACAGTTCACCAATGTATTATAAAATAGGGATCAGGTAAAGCAGAGTACTGATCTTCCTCTACTAAAGAAATACCTTAGTACTATATATCTATAAATAGATATATACTGATACAATAACTATTTATAGAAGTGGTAGAAATTGTAAGATACCATTTAGGGTAGAACCAGAGGGATTTTTCTTAATAATGTTGTAATGCTTAAATATTTCCAAACTATGTAAAGGCATTCACATTCTAATGTTACTTCTATGAGCAAGTAGATTTCCTCATTAAAGCTTCTAGAAACACAGCTCAGAATCCCAGCAGAGTAACTAATGTTTTAGAACAAGCAGGATCACCACATTTCTCTGTCATAGAATCATATAACCATAATCAGAGAATGCCAGGTAGGAAGGGACCTCAAGGATCATCCAGTCCAACCTTTCCAGGTAATACTGTGGTTTATACGACATGCCTCTGCACCCTGTCAAGCTGAGACTTCAAACTGTCCAATGTGGTAGAATCTATCACTTCCCTTGGGAGACTATTCCAGTATTTGACTGTCCTCATGGTGAAAAATTTACCTCTTGTGTCCAATCAGAATCTCCACAGGAGCAACTTATGCCCATTACCTCTTGTCTTTTCCATGTGACTTGTAAATAGGGAGCCCTCCATATTCTTGGTAGCCACCTTTTAAATACTGGAACATGGTAATAAGGTCTCCCAAGTCTTCTTTTCTCAAGGCTGAACAAACCCAGTTCTCTCAGTCTCTCCTTGTATGGCAGGTCCTCTAGTCCTCTGATCATCCTTGTGGCCCTTGTCTGGACCCTCTCGAGCCTGTCTGCATCCTTTTTGTAGAGCAGGGACCAAAACTGAATGCAATACTCCAGGTGTGGTCTGACAAGTGCCAAGCAGAGTGGGATGATGGCTTCTTTATCTCTGCTGGTGACGCCCTTGTGGATGCAGCCCAGCATCCTGTTGGCTTTGTTTGCTGCTCCAGCACACTGTTCACTCATGTTGAGCCTGTTATCCACCAAGACTCCCAGGTCCCTTTCCACGGGGCTGCCCTCAAGCCAGGTGGATCCCAGTCTGAACTGCACTCCTGGATTATGTGTTCCCAAGTGCAAGACCTTACACTTCTCCCCACTGAACTTCATAAGGCTCCTGCTAGCCCACTCCTCCAGTCTGTCTAGGTTATCCTGTAGGGTGGCTCTCCCTTCTGGAATATCAACCTCTCCACTCATCTTGGTGTTATCAGCAAGCTTCACCAGGGTGCTCTTGATCCCAACATGCAGGTCACTTAAAATGTTAAACAGCACTGGGACCAATATTGATTCCTGGGGAAAATCCACTTGTGACTGGTTGCCAGTTTGAGGAGGTGATTTACTATCACCCCCTGGGTACAGTCCATCAGCCAGCTCCCCACCCACCTCACAGACCACTTATCAAGGCTGTAACAAGTCCGTTTCTTCAGAAGGAGGGCTCTGGAGGACCATGTCAAAAGCCTTGGAGAAGTCCAAGTAGTCAATGTCCACCACTCACCCTGCATTAACCAAGCAGGTTACTTTGTTGTATAAGACAACAAGGTTTGTGAAGCATGATTTGTCCCTGGTAAATCCTTGTTGGCTTTTCCCAATCATGTGCTTCAATTGACTTGTGACTGATTTACTCCATGACTTTCCCAAGGACTAAGCTGAGGCTAATGGGTCTATAATTACCTCTATAATCCATAAAATTCTGTGAAATAAGCAAATTTAATTACTCACTTGCAAGTAATTTTCCTTCTGAGACTGTACAGACTCTCCTTTATTGCAGGACCTCTATGAATGAGAAAAAGCAAACACAATGAGAAGATGGAATTTAACATGACTAACCTGCAACCACCAGAACAAAGGAAGTAGAAGTGCCAGCTGCAATTAACTAGATGTCTCAACACTGTCTTGGATCTATGACAGCTACGGCACTAGTATCCATGTGACCTCTGACCACCACACTATGTCAATGATTCCAAAATCTTTCAAAAGGATGTGCCACTGAGACCAAGTCACTTCTGTAAACAGTCTGAGAACTGATTTTCAGGTATGTTTTTATTGTTTCCCAGTATTTCAAAACAAGATTTCAATGCATAAGCTTAGAGAAATATTAACTGAGAAAAATTTAGTTCCTCTGCATGACATTTGGGATTATGTTCTTCTTGCAGCTAAAGCACTTGAGACACACTACAAACAGTACAGAAAAGCCTAAGAAGAACTATTAGAAGAGGCATGTTATGAAGCTTGCAAAGCATTTCCTTTTTTTCCTATTACTTTACATCCCAAGCTGCTTGTGATTAGAATTTCCTTATTTAAGTATACTGTCTGGGCCATAAGTATACCACTGGTTGTGTAAATCCAAAATTTTTCTTCAAATGAACTGCCTATATTAGCTAAAGATGTCTCAGTTAAAACTGCAGTATAGTAGCAAAGCATTAACAAATTTCACACATGTATTGTGCTAGGGTTGTTAACAGTCATTATAAAGAAACTTCAGTGTATCAAACCATAGGCTCAGCAACTGAACCCTCAATGGCACATGCTTTTAATAGAGCTGCACATTTAAAATTCAAGATGTGCTAAACCCCTTGTCCTTTAAAGGGCTTGAAGGTAAGGAGAACAGAAACCAAATATTGGCTTAGAATTTTCAACAGTTTGCAGCTGCTATTTATGTTGCAATATCAGAGTTGACTTTTTAAACCAGACTAGCTTTAGAGGCCCACAAAGGTAGCCTGTATCTCCAGCTTCTGAACAAAACCATTTAATTCACAGAACCATGTGCAATCCTTTCTGTTCCAAAGCTCTAACCATGTCCAAAACAAGGGTGAAAATACAAACTCAATGGAATACAGTTAAGCAACACCAGCTGCCTTAAGATCTGTATTAACAAGCTAAATGATTTACACAAGCTATACAGTTCCAGTATTTCAGAAGCTTTAGAAGTATACTTAACATGTATCAATGGTCTTTCAAGCAAGTACTTTCCATTCCACTACCGTAAGTTTAAAACAAGACAATATGAAAACTACTATTTGTAATCCTTTCAAGGAAATCAATGAAGTCAAAACATATTCACTTAAGCTAAATGCATTAACTATTCAATAATACTAGTCATTTACAGAGGGTTTCTCTGAACAAGCATGTCCTATATCAATACCGCTTCTGCATCTTTCAGATTTTTCTTGGTCAGAAAGTTACTCACCATCCAAGAGTCCTTTCTGATTAATGGTGCTGGTTCTGTTCATCAGAAGGTAAGCAGATTAGGTTTCTACCTAGAACCTGAACTAGCATCCACTTTCCAGAAGTCACACTGCATAGAGAGCTAGCCAGTTCTAAGAGTCCACCTCAAATTAGTGTTGGAGATAACTTAATGGCAACTACTGTGCCATTAGAAAGAAACAATTAGGGGTATGTACTGCAGAATCATCAGAAAGGGAGACTTCTGCAGCATGCCTTCCTCTTTTCTGTTCCCTCAGCACGGAGCATTCGTGTCCAGAGGAGAATGAATACAATGTCATTTGTAAGTAACTTGCAAATACAAATGGCAGCTTGTAGAGGATCAGTCTTGACAAGTGGCCATGTACTCAGCCTAGAACTAAGTGTCTCCAGTACATATCAAGGAGAATAAAGTAAAAAGGATGCAGTTTTATGTAACAGATGTGAACAGTGGTTCAAAGTGAAACATTCCACACCATGAGGTATTTGATCTACATGTTTAGCTTGGGTTCTTGGCCAAACCAATCAAAACTTCAGTTTTTCCATAAATTCTAATAGCTCCACTCCAACTTATGTCCCATTCTGGATGCTACTTACTTCAATTGGAGTAAGGCTATTTTAGTACCCAAATAATTGAAGGATTTAACAACTGCTGGAGGTATTTTAATCACTCTCTCAAAGATGCAGAACACATGTCCATTCCTAGTTAATATTTCTTTAAATATTTGTGTTTCTTTTATTCTCAGAAGGTTTATTCTCAAACCAGATTAATAATGCTCCCTACAGTTTTAGTAAGGGAGAACTACATGCACAGAGACAGAAGTTGCTGTAGTTGACTTTGTGATAATGTACATTGATTTTAAGGCAGAAAGTTCCAAGTATAACAGCCTAGAATTGGAGACATTGCACATTATCTGATCTGTGCCTAGAAGATGACTGGACAGTGTTTATAAACCCAGCAGTTTGACACAGAAAATGGAGTTCCTTCATTTTTTTGCTAGTGCTCCAAATTGATTTCTCTTTTAGCTGGAAGATGACCTCTGTATCAAAAATCCCAAAGGATGCTTGGCAGGAGAATTCTGTATAGAAGAGGAACATGCAACTTTTTCCCAAAAAAACCTCTTAGTCCTGCCCAGGAATTTAAGTCTTACATTACAACTCCATTTTTCTGAGTTTACTCAGCTTTCAGGACTTATAAATTTGTCTAAATCAAAGTATTGCAGTATTTTTAAGAATTCAAATCCCAAGGAATTACAACATTTACAAGGCACTACCTGAGCAGTTAGAGGCAACCTATGCAGGGGACACTTCTCTTAATTCTGTAAGCTATCAGAAGACAGGGTACAAGAATATGAACAGCTTTAGATTCAGCAATAGCTATTTCTGCTGTCAATCACTGATATCTGCCAGAACTGAAGGAAACAAAACTAAATTAGCTGAAATCCTAGAATCTAGCATCTGAAGAATAATGCCCAGTTCAAGCCCCACAAAAGCCACAAAGACATCTCTAATCCTCTTCATTTCAAGTTACCATTCTCTTATGAGGGAGCAGAGAAAAGGAAGGGACAGTGCTTTGGTATTTTGTTATTGCTGTAAACATTTAGATTAACAGAAAGTAGCTGGAGCTACTTAAGCCTTATTTTTAAACAATAAAATCCAGTACTAAAGTAAATGAAAGCTATAGAGAACGCTCCAACTTCAGAGATCTCATACTATACCGTGAATCGTGTCTGTCACCTGGAAACCAGAGTGCTCAAGGCACGATCGCATGGGCAAGCCTGCAGCAGAGAACACATGCATATACAACTAAAGTGGTACATTACCCCCAGAACACCATTAACTCCACCCAACACAAATATACCCCCATAAGAAGTGCTTGATTTATTTCAAGCTGTCTGCTAGTGCCAGGGATTTGTAGTTATTCCATGCTACAAACAGACATGGACACCAACAATGACAGAAGATGTTGATCATTACAGTTACACAGCAGTCTGCATTTTATTTAGTAACAAAAATAAAAGGCAGCAAGGCAGTTATGGAAAAAGATTTACCACAGACCTGTGGCAACCATTTGTACTGATTTTACATCTGCTCACATAAGGAATTCAGAGACCAGAGAGGAACATTAGGTGTACTGGTTTGGTTTTCCTCATTTATATACAAGACTTTGTTTTGGCCTGTTGCAAAACAATAGAGCCCCAGTGAATCACAGTTCAAAGTTTTTTTGACACATGTAAAAAAATGGGAATGAATCTCCAAATTACCTTTCGATGGGTAAACTTGAAATTCACCTTAATTTTTGTTGATGCTTAAGTTGAAATCCTACCAGCATTTCTAACATGGGAAGTTTTAGTTGCTCTGAATTTAAAAAGAAACACTACAGTCATCTGCACATAAAATCCAATCTTAAAGTCTAGACATTAAGTGGCATATTGTTGGAGAATCTTTTGTTTCAGATGTTTTAACATTAATAGCCTACAGTTATGAATATTTTGTCACAAGGAAGTTTTATGTTTAATGCTCTCCCTTAAATTTAGCAACTAAGCTGGAGCAAGAGTAAGTGAAGCATAGTAAGACATTTTCCTTTTTTAAAATGTAGAACATATCTGCATTGTGCCTCAAACATTTGAGTTTTAATGTTGTTAGTGTTTTAATCTGTCACAAGCATAAACTTGTCTTAAAAAATTCTGCTCAAGGATATACTCAAGAGAAGTTCTTGATTTTTTAAGCATTCATATTAATGGCTGAGTCAGTTCAGTTTATCTCCTCCCAACTCCCCCCAGAACAGTCATGCACCCAAAAAATTGCTTTAAACCTATCAGCTATGACAGAGGAAGGCAAAAAGCCTTCCCTGTGTGGCAGCTTTAGCCAACTGGCATGGTATATATTGGATGAGTTTCATGTACTGACATTTGTGTCTTCCAAGACATAGTAAGCAAACTGGGGCTATTTCAAACTTTAAAAAAATCCTTTAAAAGGTGGCTCAAAGAATTATGGTGTCAGTATTATTCATTCTTAAGTTAGTATCAGGTATCTATTTTTCACTTTGATTAAAAATTTTAACTTAAACTTGTCTTCTGTACATACAATAATTCAGTACAGATTGTTACAGATCTATAGTATTTACAATAAATTAATAAGAAGAGCTGGTATTATAAGTGTGTTTTGAGCTTCAAATTGAACAGAAAGGAGTTAAAACATGCTACAAAAGCTGAAACAAAAAAGTGGTAACCACTAACATCCAGTGGTAGATACAATAAAGTAATTGAGTCATGATTTTAGCATATGGTTTCAAAACTCAACTTACTTAAGCAGTATCCCTTAATTTCTATAGGGCTTTAAGCTTAAGCAATATTACTAAAAAATATCAAGTTACTCACTTTGAACAGGCTTGTTACAAGATTCTGTTTACGCCACCCAAGAACTCATAAGAATTCTAAGTGAGGTTTTCAAAATATCCCAATTAAAACGTTTGTTTATATTTTAACTTGTATTTAAGGTAAAGGGGCTGGAAGAGACAAATGTTTGTCGACAAAAATTGTGAACCTCAATGCAATCTGAAAGTTTTACCTTGGGACTTTCTCTGCTTACTTAACCTTTAGTGAACTGCACCAACAAAAGCAGTCATTTCACTGCCACTAAGGAAATAAAGGAAATTAAGACATCGCAAAAGATCTTTTAACACCAAGAGTAGAAATGTTAGAAAGTTATGAACACACTTAATTTTCAAAGCAAATTAGTTCTGATTTTAGAGCCCAAAATTTTATTTTGATTTCTTCAATGGATAGGGGCACAGAAAAGAAAGAAGTGTACAACCAAACTTTAGAACCTACTTTACTTTTCCTTTGAAATAAAAGGCAACATTTCTTCACAGCTCTTGGGCAACAGAAATTCTACCACTACAGCAGTTTTACAGCCCATGCTCCTACTCAAGCCTTCTATATATTAAGTCAGCATTACATTATAGCCATTAATAATTTGAAAAAAAAAATAAATCTTAGCATCAACCCTAGCAGTGGTTTTGAAAACAAAGTTTCTCAGCATTATTTTTTCACTTTGCTTTTGGTTTCTCATAAACTGAAGGAAAGACTATTTAAGTTTTAATTAACTTTTACACACTTTTCTTGTCTAACAATTCAACTTTCCCAACCAAAATACAGTGGTGTAGTCAAGCATTTCATGCTTTTTCAAAAACTGGAATCTTTTACATATTTCTAGTTAAGTTTTCTACCACTGGAAAGTTAATACCTCAAAGAGTGTAACAAAAAAACACTTTAAGGCTAGTTAAGTGACAGCATATAATGAGGTTTTTAATATTAAGTTTGGTCAAGGCAGCAGAAGCAGGACAAATGGGCTGAAACTTTCAGAAACAGTCATTCTCCAGCAGATATTGGATAAGTTGTTCAAAGCAAGTGACTGAGTACTGAAAAATATCAAATGAATGGATAATAAAACCAGACCCTCTAAGTCAAATAGAAACAATTGCCATCATCCAAATGTAATTTTATGAAGCTGCCATTTTCCTTACAGTTAAACACAATTATTTATCTGCAATATAAACAAGTGTATAGCAGAGATAGGTAAGATAAGATCTGCTGCGCAGTCCTATGGTAACAGCCTGTAAGCTTTAGAAAATATTGCCTTTACAAAATATTCTTGATTTTAATTCCTACACTTTTAACAAATTTGCCAACCACTTCTGTTAAGGTTTGACAAATTTCAATGATATTTACATTTTACTAATAAAATAAAAGTAACATTAGAAGAGTTTGAGAAACACCTGATTAAACTTCTGTACCAATTAGAGGCATATGAAATATTTAGGAAAGAATTATTTGGAACAAAATGGCTGTACAGTATTGATGATTGTGCTTCATTATTATTCTAACAATACAGATCAATTTTTCTAGCAACAAAATTACCCATGAGATCTAACACAACACTTGAGCACTGTACAAGTTCAACAGTTTCAACTTTTACCTAAGGTTTTTAAATGCTACCAAGACTAAAATGAAGCAGCTAGTTATGCCTAAGTCCTACACACTGTACAGAAGCAAACTTTAATCATTTTTCTTAAACATGGCAGTCCAAACTTAACAACATAAATGAAACATTACTGATCAAACAGACAGCACATGAGCCTTCAGCTGAAACACGCCAGTCAGGATCTGTATAGAAAGGAGTGTAAGTTCTAGACAATAACAAACTATAAAGAAAGCTGCCTTAAGCTACCAGTCTACCATACTACCACTAAAGTACATTCCCAACAGGATAAAGCAACATACACTTGCAGCGTATCACAAATAAAGACCTCCAAAGATAATGCAATTAAGTTACAGAATTCCTCCCCTTCCTAAAGCACTCTATGAACTCACCATCTGCAGGATTGCACCATATAAGCGCAGGAGAACTTTCCGTGGTTCATCTGCAACTGTCTCAATTGTATCAGGTAGTGAACACTGGAACAGCATGTTGCTGAGGCCACCTCTATCAAGAGAGAGAAAGATAAGTTTATCTCCTGACTTGGATGATCATGCAGGTTTTGTATTCTACAAATTAGAGGTGCACTATTCAACCTTTTAGTATCATTAACTGATCTACTCTCATACGAGAAAGTTTTCCAACATTATCAATTAGGCTTCAACAGAAAAATTGGCAGCTTTATGCTTCTTAATATATATTGATCCAAATTACAGCTCAAACTACAAACAAACATGTAATATGCAACAGGCACCTAAGATATGATGTAGATCTCTGCTAATTCAATTGTTTTCAGAACTTCTAGAAAGTGATGCTAGGATCTTGTCAGACATACCTGGCTGCACAAACAAGTAAACAGCAGAATAAGCTTAAAATCGTGCAGTGAGTATAAAACTCTAATTTTTCAGTAAGACCTAGTATCACTGGGATGGCAGCTACAAAGATTAGCTCAACAATTTTATCTGAGCATCACTGATAAAATTAATCTTATTAATGAGACTAATTTTCAATGTTGACATTTACAATTAAAGAAGTTATTTTAAATAAATTGCTCATGTATTTGTCTAAACTGAAGTCATGCTCAGAATCTTATCTGATAAGACACAGACTAGGCAGTCCTGTGCTTCAATAATTCAGGGGTTACACAAGCATGCTAGCTTTTCACATAATTACTGTTTTACAACAGTGTTCTTATAGGTAAAAGTGACAGCAATTCTCTTCTACAGGTTTATCAAGAGAGACAGAAACTAAATTAGAAATGCTAAAATTCTTGACTTCTAGTAGCTCAGACACATCTAACTCAACCCACATTTTCTTTGCTACTTTCTTCAACCTCTTCATTATCAATGTTAAATAACAAGTTTTCAAATTTCCCTTCTGCAATAGATTTTCCCCTATTACTTCTTCCTTTAAGAGAAAAAAAAAAAGTACTGAAACTTGTTTTATTTGCAAAACAGGAATGCAAATCAGCTCTACTGAAAATCACATCTGTCTCACCATTAAAAACCACACTTTTAAAACCAAATACAATCCAAATAGAGTAGCTAGCAGCAAAGTGATGAGATAGCACACATTTTAAAAGTAATTTTACTTGTAGCATGCTACATAACTTACTGCAGTAAATCTAGAATTTAAATAGTAGCACCTCTGTCATGCAATGTCCTTCACAAAGTAACAGTTTTTCGTAAAACCCAAACCACAAGTATTTAATGTTATCTTGCAGTGAGTTTTGATTTGAGTAATCCACAGCAGATCCAAGATGCAGTGGCTAACACACAGTTCTTAGTTCTAACTTGACACTCCTCTCAATGTTTTTTCAAATAATTTTTCTGGGATTTCTTACAACGCAGTGGGGAAGTAGAAAAGAACTTCTGGAGAAAGATCTACCAAGTAGTAGAAAACTTGTATCTATTTGCTGGGAGATGATACAGAGGAGGACTGGCGTGTGTATTCAAAGTCATCAGTTGAGCAGGAAAAAAGAAATTTCGAGAAAACAGCATAAAACATCACTTGTGCAATGTGCTCAAGAAGACAGAATAGAACCAGGTGGCTTGGCAGGCATCCAAAAAAGTATATTTTAGAGACAAGAGATAGGAAGTTATTTTGAACCAGGAAGGTGAACAGGTAGGAATAAACAGACAGATGGAAAGGATATCAGACTAAGAGCAAAGCAGATGCAATCAGAACATTGGTTAGTTCTAGGAGCTACATTTATGACTTTGTTTAAACTGTGCTAAACAGGGCTTTTTTTACTACCTTTTCTAAGACTCCAATATAGACTGCTGAAAATATCAATACTTAAATAGAACTAAACACAGTGAAACCTACTCTACAAAACCCACTGAACTAGAGCTCAAAATCCCATACAGTTAGTCACTTATTTAAACACATGCATAGCCTGTATACAGTGCATGAAAGCCCAGAAACTCTTCTTTTGTATACCTTTCCAGCCAAACAAAAGTATCTTACTGAGGCTGAACTCCACCCAACAGACTTTTCACTATAGTTAAGGTTCAAAAGTCACCTCTAAACAAGTTAATCCATTCAGGAGTCTAATAAAAGGTATTATTCTCCTAAACGGTTGGTAGACTCAACAGCTTTTATAAGGGTCAACAGGACATCTCACTCTTACGCAGATAAAGCCACCAATAGTCTACTACTGCAAATTACTTACAGGTAAGCCCTTCCAAAAGGGTCACCTATTTTCAAAGTTTCCCATAGCTTTTCCCAAATCACAGCCACAGCAATTAAAATGTGCTTTTCTACTTATATTCTACTTAGATGCAAATCTATTTATTTGCTCTGAAACAAGAAGGACTGGAGCTCTTCATCCTATGACACCAAATATATAACAGCTGTTCACAAACACGATTTGCACTAATACAGTCAAAGCGGCAATACTGACATGCACATTAGGGAACACACACCTGCTTGAATGTTGTGAAACTAGAATCAGCAAACCAATATGATACTGCGTTCTTCAATAAGAAAGCACACTCAGGACTCCAGGGGAGAAGCAGACAATCATATCCTTTGAAACTGTACATAACTCTACATTTGATTGAGTAGAAAAATCAAGTACCAGACAAGCAGCCAGTAAAAATTACTCTCTGAACTAGCACCGGTGTAACTAGCACACCAGAATGGCATTAAAAAAAAAGAGATTATTTAATTCGGCAAAGACGGCAAAGATCTCACGTTACATATGGCTTCTGGAACATCCTCAGTTTACATACTTCAGCTGCCAAGGTGCTGAGCCACAAGTACTTATTACTATCTATGCTAAAGTATTATTCACATCATCGATACACTGCATTTAACCACTAACTTATTCATTTCAGAACGGTTAGGGTCACACACACAAAAAAAAAAGGCACTTTTTTTTCCTCAGGAAGAAGGTCCGTATTCAGTGCAGCAGCACCTACCAGCTCCTGCAGTCTCCCCCCCGAGGGCCCGGGCACCGCAGAATAGAACCAGGTGGCTTGGCAGGCATCCAAAAAAGTATATTTTAGAGACAAGAGATAGGAAGTTATTTTGAACCAGGAAGGTGAACAGGTAGGAATAAACAGACAGATGGAAAGGATATCAGACTAAGAGCAAAGCAGATGCAATCAGAACATTGGTTAGTTCTAGGAGCTACATTTATGACTTTGTTTAAACTGTGCTAAACAGGGCTTTTTTTACTACCTTTTCTAAGACTCCAATATAGACTGCTGAAAATATCAATACTTAAATAGAACTAAACACAGTGAAACCTACTCTACAAAACCCACTGAACTAGAGCTCAAAATCCCATACAGTTAGTCACTTATTTAAACACATGCATAGCCTGTATACAGTGCATGAAAGCCCAGAAACTCTTCTTTTGTATACCTTTCCAGCCAAACAAAAGTATCTTACTGAGGCTGAACTCCACCCAACAGACTTTTCACTATAGTTAAGGTTCAAAAGTCACCTCTAAACAAGTTAATCCATTCAGGAGTCTAATAAAAGGTATTATTCTCCTAAACGGTTGGTAGACTCAACAGCTTTTATAAGGGTCAACAGGACATCTCACTCTTACGCAGATAAAGCCACCAATAGTCTACTACTGCAAATTACTTACAGGTAAGCCCTTCCAAAAGGGTCACCTATTTTCAAAGTTTCCCATAGCTTTTCCCAAATCACAGCCACAGCAATTAAAATGTGCTTTTCTACTTATATTCTACTTAGATGCAAATCTATTTATTTGCTCTGAAACAAGAAGGACTGGAGCTCTTCATCCTATGACACCAAATATATAACAGCTGTTCACAAACACGATTTGCACTAATACAGTCAAAGCGGCAATACTGACATGCATATTAGGGAACACACACCTGCTTGAATGTTGTGAAACTAGAATCAGCAAACCAATATGATACTGCGTTCTCCAATAAGAAAGCACACTCAGGACTCCAGGGGAGAAGCAGACAATCATATCCTTTGAAACTGTACATAACTCTACATTTGATTGAGTAGAAAAATCAAGTACCAGACAAGCAGCCAGTAAAAATTACTCTCTGAACTAGCACCGGTGTAACTAGCACACCAGAATGGCATTAAAAAAAAAGAGATTATTTAATTCGGCAAAGACGGCAAAGATCTCACGTTACATATGGCTTCTGGAACATCCTCAGTTTACATACTTCAGCTGCCAAGGTGCTGAGCCACAAGTACTTATTACTATCTATGCTAAAGTATTATTCACATCATCGATACACTGCATTTAACCACTAACTTATTCATTTCAGAACGGTTAGGGTCACACACACAAAAAAAAAAGGCACTTTTTTTCCTCAGGAAGAAGGTCCGTATTCAGTGCAGCAGCACCTACCAGCTCCTGCAGTCTCCCCGCCGAGGGCCGGGGCACCGCTCTCGGCTCAGGGCCGAGCTGCTGTCGCGCTGCAGCACCAGCCCCCTCGCACCACCACCCTCTCTCTCCAGGTCCGGGCGGGGGAAGGTTTGACGCAGCAAACCCAGGGCCTTCCGCTGCTTCCCGGGCCAGACTCTCCGCGCCGAGGCGCTGGATCCCCGCAGCAAGCCTCTCCGCGCCCGCGCGCGGACGAAGGGATGCCCGTACCGCCCCGAGCCCGGGCGGGAG